CGGCTCACTGCAAGCTCTGCCTCTCGGGTTCACGCCATTCTCCTGCCTCAGCCTCCTGAGTAGCTGGGACTATAGGCACCCGCCACCACGCCCGGCTAGTTTTTTTTTTCGTATTTTTTAGTAGAGACGGGGTTTCACCATGTTAGCCAGGATGGTCTCGATCTCCTGACCTCATGATCCACCCGCCTCGGCCTCCCAAAATGCTGGGATTACAGGTGTGAGCCACTGCGCCCAGCCCAATTTTTGAATTTAAATGGTTTCTTCTAGTTGGTGATTCTGCTCCAACTCATAATTTCTCTGAAGATGCTGAGAATTAATTTATCTGCTGTGTTTGTAACCCAAAATAAAAGCAAAGATAAGAACAAAGGAGTTGAAACATCTGGGACCCTGGAGATACCTGTGGACCAACACTAATTCAGCAGCATTCCCATTCTGCTCAGACAGAGCTAGATAATAAGCTATGCTGATACATGAGGCATTCACAGTGGCACAGTTGCTCAGAGTGACAGTCATCCCTTGGTAAAAAATGTTTTAATATAAAAACTTAATAGATGTCATGGCAATTTTCTTTGGGAATAAATTGGTCTCTGAATCATACTCTAAAAATATAAAGGAAAAATGACTAATAATTCAGCACAAAATGAAAACCTGTGGTTGCCTAAGAGGTATCAGTGTGCATTTAGCAATTTCTTCTTTTTCTAGGTGAATATGCATGTCAGGTCCACAAGACAAATGGTGGCTGTTGCCAGGCTTTCTTCCCATTGCTACTCGAGATTTGCTCCTCAGAAAAAGAAATAAGTGGCATTTCACCAATATGGAAATGTTTCTAATAGAATATAAAAATCCATTAAGCAATTTTCCAGTACATTAGGCTAAAAGTGCTTAAAACGAGTATCTCTGTGACAATTAAACATCACATAATGTGCAGTTGCATAAACCCCTATGTAGAAAGTGCTAGAACAATTTGGCCTTTTTTTTTTTTTTTTTTTTTTTTTTAGTCTCGCTCTGTTGCCC